AGTCTGCTGAAGCCGGACAGGTATCTCGTGCTTACCGGTGCTATAATGGCGTTCCTCATGGGTCTGTCGATACCGACCTATTCGTTGATATTCGGCGACATAATGGCAACGATGGCCGAGACGTCCATCGATAAGATACGCGAAGACGTCTTCCTATACGCCATGCTTTTCGTGGCGATGGGTATTGTGTCGGGGATCGTGGCCTTCCTTCAGGTATGCCTCACACACACATCCCTGTCCTTCCATTCGTATGTCTGTCCATCAAAATAATTCATTAAAATCTTAGTTATATTTATTCGGTGTCTGTGGGGAACGCCTAACGATGAGACTCCGGCGTATGGTATTCACAGCGATGTTACAGCAGGAGGTGGGCTGGTATGACGAGCAGGAGAATAGTACCGGTGCTCTCTGTTCCCGGCTCTCAGCCGATGCATCGGCCGTTCAGGGGGTCAGTAGTCTTTTTAGTCAAACTTCTATCTATTTTAAAACTAATTGCCAAATAGGCGGCCGGTTCTCGAATGTCGACCCTCTGTCAGGCGGCGTCCACCCTATGCGCCGGTATTATAATCGCTATGATATACAACTGGAAGTTAGGGTTAGTTATGATCGGTTTCACGCCTTTCGTGATCGCCGCCACATATTTCCAGATGAAAATACTCAGCGGACAGGTATCTGACGATAAGAAGTCGCAAGAAGAGGCCTCGAGGGTCAGTACTACCGTTGAACTGCCGGTGCTTAACCTAAACGTATCTAATATTTGACGTATAGATAGCGGTGGAGGCGATCACGTGTATCCGGACAGTGGCGTCACTACATCAGGAAAACACATTTCTTACGAATTACACGAAAGCATTGGAAACACGGTTTGAAAAATCCAAAATCAAGGCCCATATGAGAGGCATTACCTTTGGGGTCGCACAGAGTTTGGGTAACTTTTCCTATGCGGTCGCACTTTTCTACGGGTGCCGACTCATCGTGGACCAGGAGCTCACTTATGGCGACCTTTTCAAGTTAGCACTAGAAAAAAGTTTACTACTAACAAAATAGATGTTATCTTTTAATGGGTGTGATGATAAGGGTGATTAAGTTTGAATGTAGGGAACTAAGTTTCGATGATGTGAGATTAAGTTTCGAATAAATAAAATGACAATTAATAGGAGTACCGAAGCACTCATATTTGGGACCGCAATGGTTGGACAAGCAGTCGGTTAGTTATTATGAGACACATATAATCCTTATCTGCATCCCTGACCACATAAATAATAATCATTATATATATACAGCATTCGCACCGGACTACCAAAAGGGACGGTTAGCCGCGGTTCACATCTTTAAACTGTTGGACAGATTACCGAAAATATGTGTCAATCAGTCGACCGGCGATATGCCGGACGTGTGCGACGGGAACGTGCGGTTCGAGGATCTGGAGTTCACATACCCTACCCGCCCTAACGTCAAGATACTGAACGGACTGAGCTTTGACGTGGGGAAGGGTCAGACGGTGGCGGACCATCCGCGGTCACCAACGCCGTTTTCATGTTAGTAAGTTGAGTATGTTGCGAAGATGCTCACGCTGCCGCCCCTTCACCAGACAGGATACTCAGGGTTGTGCAATACAGGTAATTGACTAGGTATATCTCATGTGTGACCACAGATTATGGACAATAAGAATATCGTGAATCTGAATATTCCATGGCTTCGCCGAAAGTTAGGGATCGTATCGCAAGAGCCGGTGCTCTTCGGCTACAGTATAGCCGATAATATCGCGTATGGAGACAACAGTCGCACTGTTAGTCTAAATGAGGTGATCCGGGCCTCCGAGAGGGCTAACATTCATTCGTTCATCAAATCACTTCCTATGGGTTACGACACACCCGTCGGCGACAAAGGCACTCAACTCAGCGGTGGGCAGAAGCAGAGGATAGCCATCGCCCGGGCACTCGTCAGAGACCCGCAAATACTGCTCTTAGACGAGGCTACCAGTGCTCTCGACTCCGAGAGTGAAAAGGTATACCATTTTAGTACATAATTAAAGTGATCACTAATTGATTATCTATTTGTGTGATTAACAGGTGGTTCAACAGGCACTGGATGAGGCCCGAGAGGTATGTCTATTTTATTTTGTTATTTATTTGCCAGTTTTTAATGTATGTCGGGAATGGTATGTTAGGGCCGCACATGTATTGTGATCGCACACCGACTGTCGACTATACAAAATGCGGACAAAATAGTTGTCGTCAGCAAAGGAGTGGTTGTGGAGGAGGGACGTCATCAGGAGTTGATCGCCAAAAGGGGGGCTTATTATGACTTATATAACGTACAGAATTTAATGCATTAGCATCACCGGCAGGAAATGGAGGTCCGGTAGTGATAATCCTAATATAGTGGTAAAACAACTTAAATTAAAACTTCTCATTCAGTGTATTCATTCATATTTGTATCAAAAATAAAATTACAAAATAAATTGAAATTAATATTAACTTTGCTTTACTACCCGTAGTAATAACTTTTTAAAATTTTTAAACCTATTGTTCAAAATAAAAATCTATTAGTTTTAGTTAGCGTTTGGTTATCAATGGTTTTAATTTTCAAATTAATTCTTGAGTCCAATCGGACAGACATTGAATTAATTACCAAAAGCACAGACTTCTTGTACAAACCCCAGGGATAATAGCATTTGTGTCCCAAATGCGCGACAAAAGAAAACCAAAACACAAACGGCCCGTCGATATAGAGGTCAAACATACGGTAACACCAGATCTCCAGCAATACCTCCGGAGTGAGGCTGCCGGATAATGAGCCAACTCATAGACCAGATATTGATACCGTTCTCATCACTTTCCTAGAGTTGGCTCACAAACAGTAAACATGGTTTAGAAATAACGATTGGTTTAGCAATAAATTCATTATTGGATTCAATTAATAGGTTTAAGTTTTCTTACCTTGGACCTTTGTAGGTTCTTTAAAATTAGCCAGGTTTGTGTTTAAAATTATATTCTACATAAAATTTATTTTTATTTGTACCTAAACTTAGTTTCTTGTTTAAAATTAATATGTTAATTATTTACATAAATCAGATAATTTTAAATTGCTTATGCAATATACCATAGCTATTAATAAATACAAAGTGCTATTTACAAAAAATAAAATTATACATAAAATTGTTATTTTATGTTAATGTACATGTACATGTTAACATAATGAACGGTATATTTATAAAAGTATAAAACTAATTTAGCCAAAAAAATTATATTATACTGCATTACACAATACAATTTTAAAAATAATATTTTATCAAAAGCACTTTTATAATTTATTCAAATTGATAAATAAATCCTCAGGAAATTCACTCACGAGACCTACTTTTTAAATAAAAAAAAGTGAATTAAAATATTACTATCAAAACAAGTTATGTAATGAAAATACGTTTCATTTAATTGAAAAACATTTCTTATAAACTTAAATAAAACACATATTTTTGTAAATATTGCTAACTCTCCATTAAAACAAATTATAAACACATGAAATATATATGAAAATTACATATTTATTGTTAAACTATTTGAATACTCCAGTGAACTCCATAATGAAATTCATAGCGATTATTATATCATGTGTTTGTCTCATACGGGTGTCAATCGCCTGTTCCTGCCGTCCCATCAAACTCAGCGACTATTACTGTTCATCGGATTTCATGATTCAGATGAAGGTCTTGAGGGGCAGACAAGTGAATCGTGAGACTCACGAGATTTCATACGATATTGAGGTCCAAAATGTCATCAAAGGTGGCATTCCGGTGGACACAGCCCTCAAAGCCAGCAAAATCTATAGCCGAGACCAGAGCTCACTGTGCGGACTGACTGGCCTGTCGAAGGGCGAGGCGTATGTCATCACTGGTATGGTTAGGCAGAGGGCTAATGAGACCAAACTGTGGACCACTTTATGTGAATTTGTCAGAAAGTTGTCCAAAATGAACAAAAGTGACCTGGATTTCATTTATAAGGATTATAATGTCACTGAATGTCCGAATAAAATCAAATAATTACTAAAAACTTTGATTTTTTGTAAGTAAATGTAAATAATTATTTAATTGTAATTTAAATTTCATACAATTATCAGAGTTAGTCTATTTTAAATTAAATCTATTACTATTGTAAATGTAATACACATTTGTAAATGTACATTACCTCATATACAGTACTATATTTGTATGACTTTTATTCATTTATAATTTAATTTTAAAAATATGAATAACTTTATTGCACAATTACATTCACTAATTACAGTTAATAAATATGTAATTAAAAACAAGTATTAAGATTTGCATTATTTATTGTGATATTTTAAAAATTATATTTCTACTAATCAATAGATTACAATTTGCCCATTAAGTGCATTATGCCCTGGATTAATGATAATAAATGAACGAATGATAAACTTGTGTTTATCAAAAATACAGCTATTAAAAACAATTTTGTAATATACGCAATGTAACTTTAAATAGACCCATGGAACATTATATCAGCTAGGGACAACCATAGTAACGTTAGCTATTTTATATTTATTATATCTAATTATTAATTTTATACAAAAGTTAATTATTCATAAAATAGTCATAGGTTTAAGGTAAACGAGTAGTATTATAACTTATCAGGTTAAAATATTACTGGATTTTAAAGTATTAATAAAAATAGCTAATGTTACGATGGTTGTCCCTAGCTCATATGTTATCTAATCCATACATTCACTGACAATGGTCTTTGTTATCCGGGATTATATCTTTAGATCCTTTCACTTATCATATACTATGAGATAAATGACATTTAATTTCATATAAATAGCACTTTTGTGTCAAATAATTCATTAAATGGTTCATAAATTCAAAATAGTTTCCTACTGTATATAACTATTGTATTAATAGTTTATATTAACTATTGTTTATATTGTATTTAAACTTCAAAATAAACATGAAATTACTGGCATTACTGTCATTCATTGGTATGATATCCCTGTCCATCGGGTGCTCGTGTAGTACAATCCACTGGACAGCCAAACAGCACTTCTGTGCCGCAGATTTCGCGTTTGAAATCCAGGAAAACGGTATTAAAATCCAGGATCCGCTCGACAATAGGAAAGCCTACTTCGAGGTGAACGTAACCAAAGTATTTAAAGGGGACGACAGAGTGAAATCAGCCATCCTTTCGGGACAAATCCATACCATGTATAGCGAGGCTACCTGTGGCCGGGACTTCAAGTCGGGTCCCGTAGCCATAATCACCGGTTCCCTCAATACGGCCGAAAACAACACCCTTTGGACTATTTATTGTAATTTTTATAAAATACCCGAATGGTTGACCCCGGAGGACATACAGTTTTTCGACACCGGCTATAAGACTGTCGTTTGTTAAGCAAAACAATTTTATAAGTAAAATAAGTTTATGATTTTTAATCTAAATTACGATTAATTATTAATAACATTGTGTTTTGTAAAAATTATGACATCCTAGTATGAATTAAAATGTTATAATTAATTAGAAAATAAAATTAAACACAATTTTAAAATTTGCTGTATATTTGTATTTAAGATAACTAATTTAATGAGTAATTTTATGATCTTGGTGCGTAAAGAGATTAAGTGCTAACCCACAAAATTGCTACGACAGATCATTTTTGTTATCACTGCAAGCTCTTTACACGTATCAATTTTTGCCCGGTGTTTTTTAATATTCAAAATCAAATATTTATAATACTGTATTCAAATTTTAACATTCAAAATGTAATTGAGATTAACTTGTTATTTTTATATAAAGATTAACAATACTTGACAAAGTCACACCAGAATCACTATTTTCATTAAGCATATTGTTTTTTGTGTGCTGTTAATTGTATTATTGCAAATCTATAGAAACGTTTATTATAATATATGGCAAATGGTGAATTTAAAAATAAAAACGCATCATGTTAGATTTTCCGTTATGTGAATAATAAGAATCATTATCATGGTGATGTGCAGTAAAATCAAAATCATCATGTTGGTGCCCGAACTAGTAACCTTAGTATCATTTGTAGTTTTCACATTTCTGCTTGATGTTTGTCTTATTAATATATTTGTGACTTACTAGTTAATTAGGTTTATTAGATTTATGTTCAGTACACCTTTCTAAACCTTGGAAAATCATAATTTATTTAATTTATTGTACATTTTAATAATTGAATTAAAAGTTTAGCTAACAATCTCATTTAAATAGTTTTTGAAACTTATAAACAAAATAATAATGTGATAATGAAACCAAAATAGCTTGTTAACATGATGTTTACTCCAAATTAGCATCCAAACATATCAATTTAAAATATATCAATAGTACAAAAACTAATTATAAATTTGTAAATAACTAATTATAACCATAATCTACAACTCATTGGACTTTTGTTTATTCAATCTGTCATTCGCTTCGAGGTCTAAGACTTTGCGGACAAAAATCTTGAGATCATCGGCGATGAGTTTGGGCTCCTCGAAGGCGCCGAAGTGTCCACCTCTTGGCATATCTGTGTATTGGACCAGATTTTTGTACAAATATTGCGTCAACTCTTTGGGCGATCGCAACAACTCGTGAGGAAAGTCAGCCACAGCCGCGGGAACGGCAGCCGACACTGGAATCCTATTAAATAGGCAAAAGTTAGACTAAATATGACGACAGCAAACTTAATTGTCACTCAACTGATCCAATTTGTATTCGTAAAACCTGGTTAAACTTTCCTTATAGTAGCGCATACTCGACGCCACGTTATTAGAGGTCCAGTAAATCATGATATTTGTGAGCAACTCGTCTAACGTGAACTTCTGGGTGAGAGCGCCGTCCGATTTGCGCACGTTATCCGGGTTAGTCCACGTCGAGAACTTTTCTAATATATAGGCGGCTAAGCCTACGGGACTGTCTATAAGGGCTGCGCCGATAGTGTCGGGTTTAGTAGCCTGGAGGTGCATATAACCCGATTCGCGTAACATGAAGTAAAACTTGTCCAAAGCTGGATACGATTTCTGGTAATCCTTATCCGGATTTGCAAACACCAGACTCGGCGCATACATCCCGGTTATGAACTTCACTAATGCCATTCCCTTCAGGTTCATATTGCCAGAAAATGTGGTGTGCACTCCGCGTATACTATTCAATGATAACACATTTTAAATATACCGGTAAATTTATAAGTTAATAAATAAAGTCGCATACTGTTCCGGGTATNTTTTGTTCATTTTGGACAACTTTCTGACAAATTCACATAAAGTGGTCCACAGTTTGGTCTCATTAGCCCTCTGCCTAACCATACCAGTGATGACATACGCCTCGCCCTTCGACAGGCCAGTCAGTCCGCACAGTGAGCTCTGGTCTCGGCTATAGATTTTGCTGGCTTTGAGGGCTGTGTCCACCGGAATGCCACCTTTGATGACATTTTGGACCTCAATATCGTATGAAATCTCGTGAGTCTCACGATTCACTTGTCTGCCCCTCAAGACCTTCATCTGAATCATGAAATCCGATGAACAGTAATAGTCGCTGAGTTTGATGGGACGGCAGGAACAGGCGATTGACACCCGTATGAGACAAACACATGATATAATAATCGCTATGAATTTCATTATGGAGTTCACTAGAGCATTAAAATAGTTTAACAATAAATATGTAATTTTCATATATATTTGATGTGTTTATAATTTGTTTTAATGGAGAGTTAGCAATATTTACAAAAATATGTGTTTTATTTAAGTTTATAAGAAATGTTTTTCAATTAAATGAAACGTATTTTCATTACATAACTTGTTTTGATAGTAATATTTTAATTCACTTTTTTTTATTTAAAAAGTAGGTCTCGTGAGTGAATTTCCTGAGGATTTATTTATCAATTTGAATAAATTATAAAAGTGCTTTTGATAAAATATTATTTTTAAAATTGTATTGTGTAATGCAGTATAATATAATTTTTTTGGCTAAATTAGTTTTATACTTTTATAAATATACCGTTCATTATGTTAACATGTACATGTACATTAACATAAAATAACAATTTTATGTATAATTTTATTTTTTGTAAATAGCACTTTGTATTTATTAATAGCTATGGTATATTGCATAAGCAATTTAAAATTATCTGATTTATGTAAATAATTAACATATTAATTTTAAACAAGAAACTAAGTTTAGGTACAAATAAAAATAAATTTTATGTAGAATATAATTTTAAACACAAACCTGGCTAATTTTAAAGAACCTACAAAGGTCCAAGGTAAGAAAACTTAAACCTATTAATTGAATCCAATAATGAATTTATTGCTAAACCAATCGTTATTTCTAAACCATGTTTACTGTTTGTGAGCCAACTCTAGGAAAGTGATGAGAACGGTATCAATATCTGGTCTATGAGTTGGCTCATTATCCGGCAGCCTCACTCCGGAGGTATTGCTGGAGATCTGGTGTTACCGTATGTTTGACCTCTATATCGACGGGCCGTTTGTGTTTTGGTTTTCTTTTGTCGCGCATTTGGGACACAAATGCTATTATCCCTGGGGTTTGTACAAGAAGTCTGTGCTTTTGGTAATTAATTCAATGTCTGTCCGATTGGACTCAAGAATTAATTTGAAAATTAAAACCATTGATAACCAAACGCTAACTAAAACTAATAGATTTTTATTTTGAACAATAGGTTTAAAAATTTTAAAAAGTTATTACTACGGGTAGTAAAGCAAAGTTAATATTAATTTCAATTTATTTTGTAATTTTATTTTTGATACAAATATGAATGAATACACTGAATGAGAAGTTTTAATTTAAGTTGTTTTACCACTATATTAGGATTATCACTACCGGACCTCCATTTCCTGCCGGTGATGCTAATGCATTAAATTCTGTACGTTATATAAGTCATAATAAGCCCCCCTTTTGGCGATCAACTCCTGATGACGTCCCTCCTCCACAACCACTCCTTTGCTGACGACAACTATTTTGTCCGCATTTTGTATAGTCGACAGTCGGTGTGCGATCACAATACATGTGCGGCCCTAACATACCATTCCCGACATACATTAAAAACTGGCAAATAAATAACAAAATAAAATAGACATACCTCTCGGGCCTCATCCAGTGCCTGTTGAACCACCTGTTAATCACACAAATAGATAATCAATTAGTGATCACTTTAATTATGTACTAAAATGGTATACCTTTTCACTCTCGGAGTCGAGAGCACTGGTAGCCTCGTCTAAGAGCAGTATTTGCGGGTCTCTGACGAGTGCCCGGGCGATGGCTATCCTCTGCTTCTGCCCACCGCTGAGTTGAGTGCCTTTGTCGCCGACGGGTGTGTCGTAACCCATAGGAAGTGATTTGATGAACGAATGAATGT